ACTGACTGGTTTAAAAGACTAATTTTGAGGCCAGGGATTTAGCTCAGTGGTTCCACCACCTGACTTGCAAGCACAAGGGCCCGAGTTCGATCCCTGATACCAAAAAAAAAAAAAGATTAATTTTGTATTATATGAGAATTGCTTCTAAATTAAAAAAAAAAAAGTTTAAAGGTATATCTTAAAAATATAGCAAGGGGAGGCCAGGGATTTAGCTCAGTGGTTTTGCCGCCTGCCTTGCAAGTGCAAGGTCCAGAGTTTGATCCCCAGTATCAAAAAAACAAACAAAAAAAAAAAAAACGCAAGGGCTAGAGGTGTAGCTCTGTGGTCGAGCACTTTTCTAGCGTGGGCAAGGTCCTGGGTTCAATTCCTGACACTGCAAAAACAAAACCAGTATCAAACTCAGCAACCCAGGACAAGCAAGGGGACAAGAAGGCAGTGAGTTCGGCTGCAGAGGGCAAGAGCAAGTCGGAGGCTCCCCTCACCTCCGTGGTCCTCTGTGGAGCTGCTCCACGACCGCTGGCCCCGACAGGCTCTTCCTTATTTGCAGCCTGAGAAAAGGCCAATTTAATTTCAAAGGCCAGGCCGCCGGGATCCAGGACAGGGCATGAGGGCAGCCTGCAGGGGGCGCTCTCGGCTGCGGGAGGGAGGCAAGCCGGGAGGTCTCCAAGGCTGACCGCAGGAGCGAAAGGCTGCCCAGGGAGGGAGGGGACACTTACAGGGTTGTACTGGGAAAATTTTGCCCTGGCAGCCAGATGAAAAGGGAAATGAGCCAAGGGCAGCAACACAGGTGAGAACAACCCCAGACTGAACTCTTCCATAGGGCTGGGGAGGGAGCGGGCTGCCTGGGGTCCGAGCAGGGGGTCTGAGCTGCACAGTGGGCAGAGGACAGAGGCCTCACAAACGCACTACAGCAATGGACATCCAGATATCCACCGCAGGGGTCCAAGGGACAGCCCCGTGCGGGGCTTGTCCCTTCTACACACACGTAGGTTGCCGCACGCGTACACACACTTTACTGTTTGTTAAAACAGGCTCATTTTTTTTTTCTCTTTTTTAGTGCTTTTTTAAAGAGGCAGGATCTTGCTCTGTTGTCCAGGTTGGCTTTGAACTCCCGGCCTCAAGGGATCCTCCCGCCTCAGCCTCCCTGTGCTTGGAACTCCAGGTGAAACTCCAGGGTGTGCATCTCCGTGCCTGGCTTTCAGGGGCTCATGTGCGGTGACGCTCGCTGCAAGCACAGCTCTGCTCACACACGCCCAGGCAGCACACAGCCATAGGGCACCTCAGCTGAGCCCTCGGGAGGAAACTCTGGGCACCTCCGTAAGAGGCAGCATTGGCTCCCCAGCCCCAGCACAGAGCCCGCCGGGAAAGTGAGACAAACCGCTGCCATTGCCCAACACACCGACTCTGCCCAGCCCAAGGTCAGGGAGCAGCCGGGGCAGGGTCTCACGTGCCGGCTCTGCATCGCGGCCACCAACGCAGACAGCCCAGATCGCAAGGGATCTTGCAAAACCTTCCCCATCCCTCAGAGTTCAGCTGAAGTGTCTTTCCCCCCAGGGAAATTCCCCCAGCTTCTGCGGACATATGTCATCTTTTGTTTATTTATTTATTTGGTACCAGGGGTCAAACTCAGGACCTCGAGCTTGCGAGGCAGGCGCTGTGCCACTGAGCTACATCCCCGGCCCTATTCTTTCAGAGCTCTGGTTCTGCTGTGCCTGTGCAGGTCATTTCACCTCTCTGCCTTCCATTCTTTCCTGTGTAAAACAACAAAAGCCTGCATGAATAGATAGATAGATAGATGATAGATAGATAGATAGATAGATCAAAGTGCACAGTGAATGTTTAAACGTTTTAAAATCCATTACAGTCATAGACACCTTGTTATGAATCCCCTCAAAATACTTCCCCTCCCTTCAAACACACTCATCGCATCCGCCCTGCCCTTTTCTGAAGCAGTCCTGGAAGGCCTCCTTCATGTCTTTCCGAAGCGTGATCCAAAGCCCAGTGAGTGCTGCTGCTGAGGGTCACACCGCCGAAAGACGGGCTCGTGCAACCGTCCAGGGAGTCCTCACCCAGCTCACCCATCGGACCTGGCCCTGTGGAGCTTTGAATGGATTCAGAACCTCAGGACAGCCACAGCAGTGCAACTCAGGACACAGAGGAAGATGTCCAGCGCTGCTTCGGAAAGGGCAAGAGTAGACACTGCGTGGCGGCGCACACCTGTAATCCCAGCACTTGGGAAGCTGAGGGGAGAAGGTTGCCAGGGGTCCAAGGGCAGACTGAACTGCGCAGCAAGACTGTCTCAGAAAGAAGAAGCGGAGGACAAGTGTATCTGAAGAGAGGGGAGTATTTTGAGGGAGGTTAATGGCAATGTGTCTTTTACTGTAATACAATTTAAAAATATCAACATTCACCATTATTTTTCCATCACACTGTATGCATGAATTTTATTTTATTTTATTTTTGGTTTGTTTTTTTGTTTTGTTTTGTTTTGTTTTGTTTTTTGAGACAGTGTCTCAGTATGTAGTTGAGACTGACCTGGAACTCACTGTGTAGCCCAGGCTGGTCTCGAACTCACAGCGATCCTCCTGCCTCAGCCTCCAGAGTGCTGGGATGACAGGCGTGCGCCACCACGCCCAGCTTGTATGCATGAATTAAGGGCACGCTCTGTCCCTGCCGAGGACGGTACTGAGGGGCATGGGGGAAGCAGTTTCTTCGTACTCACACAGTCAGCCGTCTGCGGAGGGCTCCCCTCACCTGTCCCTTCCTCCCACCTCCTGCTCAGGCAGGATCCTGAGGTCCTGAAGTACATCTAGGGGACATGCAGTTTCTTCTCTCTCCTCTGTGATGGACCAAGACAGGCCCTGTGGGGCAATTTGGCCAGCACAGTAGTCGGAACCCCTAGTGCTCCCAGCGAGGATGGAAATGGGTTTCTGCTCCCGTCTTTGAAGAAGATGGAAGAGGTCACTTCGTCAATATGGGCAGGAAGAGCTAAGAGTGGCAATGCCCCTGCTGCCTCTCCCTGGCTAAGGGACCCTCATCTCCCATTCCCCACCCACCTGGCCACCTCCTCGCAGCAGCAGCTGGAGCCGGGGCTGGCTGCAGAGGCCTGAGAGCAACTTCCTGCTACCTGAGGGACTGTGGCAGAGCTCACCTGGGCAGCAGCTGCCATCGTCACAGGGACAACACTCAGGCTCCCTGGAGGGCCCATGTGGACAGGCAGTTAGGGACTGGTAGGGCTAGGAAGTGAGGGACACGTTCTGTGTCCCTGCAGGGCATCCCCAGTCCTGGTGACGAAGGACCGACGTAGAGCCCAAGCCCAGGCCCAGGCTGACCCCTAGTTCCCTCTGCCCCCGGACCCCTTGGACGTCTGAGTGAGACAAGGCTGGGGTCGTGAAGCCCTGCCTCAGCCTGGGAGAGCTCAAGGCTCCATGAGGCCCAGGGTCACATCCCCGAATGGTGCCTCCCTTCTTGGCCATGTGCCTGAGGCACCCCCAAAGTCCTGAACCTCTGAACCCAATGGGTTTCCATCTCAGCACGCCTGGAGTGGACCTCTTCACTACGATATGTTGGATGGTGAGGTCCAGCCCCGTGGCCTGGCCCTGTGACGCCTCAAGGACATGAATCCCGAGAGCTAAAAATCTTTCACGTAGACAAACTGAGATATGTGGTCAAGGCACAGGTGGGTACACCGACAACTAGACCTGGGTCTAAGTCAGACGAGCCTGTTGGATGTGCCTGTGATCCTCACTCAGGCCAGCCCCTGCGCGGTCCCAAGAACTAGCCAAGGACAGGCTCGAACCTAGTTTAAGGGACTGGGTGAGGCCTGAGGTCCTTCAGTAGCCAGCATAACAGAAACACCCAAACCAGACAGTGACCGACACAGCTGACCAGATCCCCCCAGTAGACATGCGGCCAGGGGCACTCTAGCTGAAGGTTAGGCAGTGCCTCCACCTCTCCTCCGGGATGCCTCCCAAGCCAGCCACACACTAGGCGCTCCAGCGAGAGGGACCAGGACTTCGCCCCTCCTGCCCTCACCACACACCAACTCCAAAGAAAGGCCCCCACCGGGCCTCCTGAAGGAGAAACTTCCTAGGTCTCCACGCACACGAGGCAAATGAGGCTGAAGGGAAGGGGCTGGCTCAGGTCCCTCTCTGCTCACTCACCGGGCTGCAGCTGCGCGCTTGGCTCCTCTGATCTGCAGCCCGAGGCCCTGGCTCTGGGGTCCCCGAGGAGCAGGGTGGGCACACTGCCAGACTGGCCTCTGTCCTGGCTTTTCTGAGGAGCCACCACAACCTCCGAGTACGCAGAAGTCACACCCTTGGGCGGGTGTGGACTGAGGGCACCTGATAACGCCCCCCTCACTCCCCAGTGCATCTGTGGGACCCTCGTGCTAAGGGGAGTCCTGGCCTGGCAGGAAAGTGGCCCCCATGGCAGGAAGAGCTTGACCCCATGGTGCCCAGGAGCTCAGCTCTCAAAGATAGAGTGGTTTCCGGGCCCCAGTTCTGTCCTCCTAGTCCCACGTCTCAGCAGAGAAGCCCAGTGGCAGGAACTGACCTATCTCTCCTCCAAGACAGAAGGTGCGGCTCAGAAGAAAGAAGTCCCGGAGCGAAGGTGCTCTCCGGTCCTGCTCCATGTGTTTTACCACACCCGGAAGGCAGGAAACCCCCACGCGGGAGGGCCCTGCTCCCGTGCAGAAGCTCCGGGGCTACTCTGCACGCAGCAAGAAAGGCAGAAAGGACCGAGACTTCACAGGCGAGCAGCCCTCGGTGGCTGTGATGTGACCGTGGCTAAGTCACGTTACATCTCCAAGCTTCATTTCCTCATCTGGAACATGGAGCCGGTTCCCGGATGGCTCAGGGCCGGCAACAGGAGGTGAGCCAGGCTGAGCTAGACACCTGGGGAGACTAGGGCCGCAGAGAGAGCGAGCTACGGCCGAGTCCCAGATTCAGACGAAACCCAAGAAGCACAGCCCAGCTGGATTAATATAAAGTCCTTTATTAACATTCAGTTTAATAAAAGAAGAGAGAGACGTAAAAATACTTTTCTTAGAAGCCCTGGGATGGGAAGGCACTGTCAGAACCCACCTGGCCAAGGAGGTACCCAGCCAGGCAGGAGGACTGGAGCCCTCCTGGGGGGCAGCCGGCCCCAGGGGGCGGGAGAGGAATGGCTCCGGCCTCAGGCGGGGACTGTGCAAATGCTGAGACCACGCAAGGAGTGATGGGTTTGGGGCTCAGGCCCCGAGCACCGTGTTCCCTGCATGTACAGACGTGCAGGGGCCAGCACCTGTGGGTACACACATGTGCCCACAGCTTACATACGGAGAGCAGAACGAGCGGTCTCCCAGGCAGGAATGGGGCCCCACCCAGAGATCGAGGCAGTAGCTTAAAGAAGTCTCTGGAAGTCCAGGGGTGATAGAGAGCCAGGTGCCAGCTCTGCTCCCTCCGGGTCTTAGGAGGCCAAGGCCTCCTGTCTTTGCTGGAGGACTTCGATGACGCTGCTGATGTCATCCTCGGGCACCTAGGGCGTGGGGAAGGTGGCAGAAGGGAGGGTCAGGCTGAACCCGGCCAGGACTGCCCCGGTTTCCTGGGCCACCCCTCTGAGCCTTAGTTTCCCTCCAGGAGCCCCCACCCCAGCCCTCGGCGCTCACCAGAGCATGATCGAAGTTGAAGGTGCTAATGTAGTAGGCAGAGACGTCAGCAGCAGCCAGGGGACCAGCAATCTGGGCAACAATCCCGCATTCATCTAAGGGTTGAGGAGGGACACGTGTGACTCATACGGGCCACTATGGATACCTCAAAGGCCTTCCGTACCCCCCAGCACAGGGAGCGGCCCTCACCAAAGCCCAGGGGCTGTCCACCGATGCGCACCATCCTCCACAGCTCCCCGGAGGAACTGGTCAGCAGGAGGTTACGGGGGAACCTGGATAGGCAGACGGTGGATAGCAGAGCAGCCCCACCTCTCCGCACCCCACTGCGAGCCCCTGGGGAGATCCACCTGCTGGCCGCAGGGTCTGCACCCTGTCTTTTCCCTTCCTGGGGCTGGCCTGGGGTCTGTCGCCCAGCGGGGGTCAGGGATCACCTACTTTTTCTGCGTCTTGGAGTCCATGACAATGGAGATGTAACCCTCAATAAGGGAGAAGGCAAAGAACGGGATGGAGCTGGATTCGGGGCTGCTCGAGGCTGCCTCCTTGGGGGCGCTGGGGAAGGACAGCAGGGTCAGAAGCTCCACAGGGCCTGCTGCCCACCATCTCCTCGCCACCAGCCTCCAGACCCCAAAGAAGAGGCTGGCACTGGTGGCCGTGGGCAGACCCTTACGTCCAAGGCCCTGACCTCCTGAAGGTGCTGGTGAAAACGCGGCAGGAGTGCACTGAGCCCTGCTTATGCCAAAGACGAAGGACCCCGGGGACAGAGGGCACGACCAGGGCCTGGCTCCAGTGTGGCTCTGCCAAGACCACAGGAACAGGCCCAGCTTCAGGACCAGGGCCATCCCTGGACCTCAGTGGGGAAGGCACATGGGCCTCGTGGGCTGGGAACCCTGAGTCACAAGGCAGGGCACAGAGCGGCAGAAGAAACAGCAACGGAGGTGGGAAGACAGTGTAGAGAATGGAGACCAAGGAACACACCTGTGTGAGTAGAAGAGGACATCGATGAGGGTGGTGGCGATGGCTGGCAGCGTCTCAGGGTCCAGCGTGAGGACGCAGAAACGGTTCTGCGGGCTCTGAACGGGGTGCACCGTGGGAGTAGGCCCTGCTGGGGTAGAGCCAAGGTGAAAGGCACTTGTGGGCTGGGGCGGCCCCTGGTGGCCAGTTGGGGGAAAGCCTGGGCCAGGCGCGGGTCCGGCTCTCCGGGAATCAGCCCGGGCCTTCCCCATCGCCCCGGCTCCCCTCTCGACAGCGTCTTCTGGTCTCCCAGTCCCCACAGTCGTACCTACACAGCGGAAGGGTCCCGTGGGAAGAGGTAGGCCAGCCCAAGCTGGAGGGGCAGGGGCGGACCTTACCATGCTGGGTGCGGGGAAAGCCATTGCTGGAATCATCACTATCAACAGGCACAGGCTCCCCGCCCACCTCACGGTAAATGTCGAACTCCCGGGCCAGCGTATGGATCACCACAGACAGGTCCTGCTCCCGCACCTGGGCCAGAGGCAGATGGCAAACCATGTGGCTCCCCCGGGCACGCGCGCCCGCCCTGCACTGTGCCAGGACCTGTGGAAACTCACCAGGATGAAGTCTGTCTGGTAAGTGGACAGCATCAGCACGGACACGTGGTGCTCAGCCAGGGGCGTGATGACAGAGCGAGCGATCCTGGTGACCCCAGCAGCCTGCACTGCCGCACCACTGTGAGAGGACACGTTCATCACCAGCCACGTGGCATCCGCCACCTGCAGGAACTCGGATGGGGGCAGCTCTGTGGGCAGGGGCACACGCCTAGTCAGGGCCTGGCCCTCTCGAGTCTTGACTTTCCCTGCCTGTTTCACGGAGAGTTCTAGCACAGCAAAGGCAGGTCTGGAGACGGGTCGGTCTTTCTCTAGCTCTGCTTCTAAAGTATGCAAAGACTGCATGCTTCAATGGTGACCAGCAGCTAGGAATGGAGCAGCGAAGATCGGAGCTCTGGAATCAGACCTGGATTCAAACCCTGACCTTGCAATTTACTTGCGTGATGTGGGGAAAGTGATTGGAGCTTGGCTCCTCATCTGAGCCTCAGTCTCTGTATCTGTAAAATGGGAGAGCATTTTTCCTCACGCCCGTTCTGCGGGGTCAAACATTGCATCACTCGGCACCACCAGGAGGCGCCAGCAGCTCAGGTTTCTCTCTGCCGATGCTCTTCCCCTTCTGCAGCCTTAGACCACGTGGTAAGTACAAACAGGGAAACTAAGGCCCAGCCAGACAGAGCAAGCTCCAGTTGGCTACCCTGAGTCTCTAGGCCTGTGAGGCTGGTAGAAGCAGGAGCCAGATGTCAGTTCCAGGGCCCTGGGAGGGACCAGGCTGGTGTCCAGTCTTCAGCAGAGGCCAAGGCAGCTGCTGTTCACCCAACCACAGCCAGGAGGCCCCCAGGACTCTGCCCTGGGATGGCTGCCGGCTCCTGCATTCCTTCCCCAACCCTCAGACTCCTGGACTCTCAGACCAGCAGAGGAGCTGACCCGCATTGGAGAGACAAAGTACAAGGGGAAATAAGTAAGCCCTCGGGGGTTTAAAACAGCGACTCCGACTCTCGCCTGAAACTGTAACAGAGCTCCTGCTGGCCAAGAGCTGCCGAGTGTCCCTCCCTCACACTGCTTCTCAGGGGCATTAAGTTTAAAAAGCCCTCACCGGTCCCTGCTAGATCACCGCCATAATTATATTCATTTTGCCTAAGAGGAAAAAGCTCAGAGAGGGGAAGTGATTTGTTCAAAGGCACACAGCCAGTGAGAATGGAAGAGCAGGATTCAAACCCAGATCCACGTCTTGAAGGCCCAAGCTCGTGGGTCGCTGGATTCCTGAACCTAGTGACATCCTCGTGGAGGAGAGCACAGGAGTCCAGCCCCCACCTTTAAAGCCCTCCTCGTCCACCATGAGCGTGTAATCCTCGGGGGTCTCGGTCAGGCTGAAGAACTTGCACCTGGTGGGAGACAGGGCGGATTTTCAGCTCGGTCGAAGAAAGGTGGGGTGGGGGGACGATTGCCCTTCGTTCCATCCGCCCCGAAGGACCCCCCGCCGGGCGCCTTCAGGCCCTAGCCGCCTCGATTTCCTCACCTGAACAATGGGGTGCTCCCCGGCCCCCATCTCCAGGACCGAGGACTATGTTCCATCCCCAGACCTCGCCAGGAGCCTCCCAATCCTCCTCCTGGAGGGAAGAGAGGCTCACACCTGAGGTGACAGCCCTAGGAGCGTCGGACCCTGGGCCCCCTCGGCCGGACCCGCTGACCCGAAGGTCAGACGGAAGGGACTCCCGCAGTGGCCAGGAAGGAACGCCCCCACTTCACGCGGCTCGGAGTTCAGCCTAGGGAGGGGGTCTCCTGGGCCGGATAGGTGTCCGGTCCCGGCCAGCACAGGCCCAGGCCGGATGACAGCCAACCTCCGCACTCGCTCCACCCGCCTCGCAGAGGTCCTAATCCTCTGACCCTGGCCCAGAGCGACAGCACAGCCCCCACCCTCATCTGCGCCCCCGAACCCGGGCGCGCACCGGCTGCGGTGGGGCAGGAAGAGCAGCTTGATGAGCGGGTGGGTGTAGAGCCAGAGACCCTGGCGGGCGAGACTCAGCACCCGCACGCGGTGCTCTAGGATGTGCAGCTCCATCGCGGCTCGAGCAG